AAAAAATAAAAAAACAATCCTATTAAAAACATAGGAAACCAACGACCTAAATATTTGGAAAAATAATACCCATGTGATTAAGAAACAATCACGTGTCCTCCATCTCTTAAGGGCATCTCCAACCCTACTCTATTTTAGAGTAAAAATGCAAAATTCTTCTCCAACCCTACTCTATAATTGACTCTAAAATAGAGATTTCTGCAGATTGACTCTATATATAGAGCAACTCTATTCTCAACTCTATTTTTGAGTTCAACCTTTTTTATTTATACTTTAGTCCCTCAAATTTAAACTTTTTTATTTAATACATATAATCATTTTATAAACAACAATTACAACACATAGCTTTATAAACTTAACAAGCAAACAAGTACTAAATTTAAAATAATTTTATAAACTTAACAAGCAAACAAGTACTAAATTTAAAATAAACAACATAAGAAAACTAAAACATAAAACTAGTAATTTAATAGTCCGGTAAATTGCTTGTAGATCCGCCAAGATAGTTAAAATATTGTCCAAATGAAGTAGATGGAGGAGTTTCTTGATCTTGATCTTGTTGTTGGACACGTCGTTTTTGTAAAATCCGTGCTTGTTCACTCTCACTACGAAATGCTTTAATTGATCATATGTGGGAAAAATATTCTAATGGTGTTATTTAAAATAAAATTTGTAATGTTTTATTATTGTTATATGATGTAATGTTTTTTTTTAATAAATAACTAGTGTTTAATTTAAATAATTTCATATTTTATGGGAATTTTGTAAATCTATAATATATGGGGTCAAATTGTAAATTATATAATTAAAAGGTATTAGTATATAAAATAGAAATAGAATATTTCTAAGAATATTCTTTTTTAGAGTAGAAAATAGAGATATACATTGGAGAGAAACTCTCCTCTAAAATAGAGTAACTCTATTTTAGAGTAAGATATAGAGCTCTACATTGGAGATGGTCTAAGATGCCTACGTCTTCGTCGTCTTCATCTCCACCATCGGAGTCACCGTCTTCATGATCTTTTCTTAATCACAAGAACTCTAATGCGGAAGCTTTAATTCCGATCTACTGGAATTGCCTGCTCTGATACCATGTAGAAACTAGAGAAGGATTTGAGGGAAAACTCTTTATTATGTGTTGTTGATCTCAAAAGAGTTGATACAATATATATAGAGACTAGGTTTAACCTAATTAGAATAGGAAATAGATAAACATGAATAAGTAAATATTCTAAATCTCTTAATCCTTATCACAATATGATATCTAGAATATTCTTCGGCTTGGGTTTCACTGGCTTGGTGCGCTGTCTTGCTTCCTAAGTTACCTCAATAGAAGTTGAAAAATCGTAATATTTGCTGCCTTCCACTACATATAATTTCCCATCACGAACACTCACGAATACCTTAGACGAGGGCTCACCATTCTTGTGGTATCCGTTACTCATGATGTAGACATTAGAACTAATTGTGGCAGTAATCCAATGATGTGGAGGAAAAAATTTATGCACTGGGACTGAGACCAGAACTTTGCCACTCGACTTCTTAGTGCGATTTGTTAGGATACATGGAATAAAGCAAAGAGTGAACCATCATGAGGAAGGGTTAGGGAATCGAGTTGGTCTCCCACGTAGAGTAAATAAACGTGACTTAAAGCTACGAGGGAACACTATGGAGACATAGAGACAACTCTCAATGAGACCTAAAAGTGTTCGGGTCTCGTAAAGCTCCTTCGAAGCAAGGAGAGAGCGAAATCTCTTGGAAACTAAAGAAAGAATTGGATAGTACAATCTCGAGACGCGGGCTAAGCAGTTCAACAGTACATCATCAGGGAGACATATCATATTTGTTACCAGTGATGACGATTCTTTGCCTTTAAGTTGCGATTGAAGGGTTACTTGAAGAAGACGACATTTTTTTTTTGGCAGCCTCTCTTTTTTTTTTTTTTTTTGGTATCAATTGTTGGCAGCTTCTTTCCAAAATGGTATCAATTATGCTCTTATAATCGTTTACTAGATTTTAACCCACGGTATACTGTCGGACGATTTATTTACAAAAAATAATAATTTTAAAAATTTAATGATTATGTATTAAATATAAAAAATTTAAATAATATTATTTATAAAACATTTATATTTTTTTAGTTTAAAATTATTATTAAGTAGCGGTATATCACGAGATAATTTATGTTTTATACAATCTTATTTAAATCAGGCTTATTCGATATATCTAATAATCGTGGTGTTAAAAAATAATAAAATAAAGGTTTAACTAGGGGTGTCAAAATGGGTCAAGATTCATGCGTCAACCCAACTCAACTCAACCCATAAACCCTAATGAGTTGAAAATTTTGACTCAAATGAGTTGATGGATCAAATGAGTTATTGAGTCAAATGGGTTGATGGATCAAATGAGTTGGGTTGTAATGGGTCAATGGTTTCAATGGTTTACCCATTTAATCCATCAATTTTTGTTAAATTGAATCAAACCAATTTCAATCTCTAAACCGATTTTAATTTGAGTCTAACCAAAACATCTAAACCGATTCAATATAGTCCTTAATTTTCCCGCCAAATATGTGAATACACAATTTTTCCATCAAAATATAAATTCGTGATTTTCCCGCCAAACAAATTTATAATTTTTAACCAAAAACGAAAATATGTAATTCTCCCACCAAAAACGTAAACCCGAGATTTTCCCGCCAAAACAGTAAATCCGTGATTTTCCTGCCAAAATTTTTTATAATTTTTAACCAAAAATGAGAATGTAAAATTTTCCCGCCAAAAACGTAAATCCGTAATTTTCCCGCCAAAAACGTAAACCCGAGATTTTCCCGCCAAAAAACGTAAATCCGTGATTTTCCCGCCAAAATTTTTTATAATTTTTAACCAAAAATGAGAATGTAAAATCTTCTCGCCAAAAACGTAAACCCGAGATTTTCCCGCAAAAAACGTAAATCCGTGATTTTCCCGCCAAATTTTTTTATAATTTTTAAACAAAAATGAGAATGTAAAATTTTCCCGCCAAAAATTGATAATTTTTAACCCAAAACAAGAATGTGTAATTTTCCCGCCAAAAACGTAAATCCGTGATTTTTTCGCCAAATAATAGTGATGTTGATGATAATAATATTATTATTGTATTTTAATTATTAATTTATTTATTACATATATAGGTTAATGGGTCAACCCATTTAACCTTCTAACCCATCAAATTAAATGAGTTCATGGGTTGACTCAACTCATTTAGCATCAACATGAGTTGAGTCAACCCATGAACTCATTTAACTCTAAACTCATTGGGTAATGAGTTGAGTTGAGTTGAGTTGGGTTAACCATTTTGACACCCCTAGGTTTAACCCATATTGAAGCGGTGAGTTAATGATATTTTAAATTTTTATTAATGTTAATTCAAACCCGTCCCGCCATATAACCCGTCATACAATATAATCCGTCCTGTGCTATTTTTTAATACGTTCAAATGTTCATAATATTATAAACTTATTATTGATTTTAATTCGTCTCGTATTGAAGCGGCGAGTTACTGCTATTTTAAATTTTTATTAATGTTGATTCAAAACTCATCCCGCCAGGCCACCATAAAACCTTGTCCCGCAATATAATCCGTCTTGTGTTACTTTTTATTTTTATATTTCTAAATGTTCATGATATTATAAATTTTCTATTGCTTTCAAATATATCAATTATAATATTTTCAGTAAAATAAAACAGTTTAACTAAAAACCAAAGTAACCCGTACACAAACTTTTAAATTTGGATGCTTGTTAAGTTAATGGGCATGCTCATTCGGATTTGCATTCATTTTGATCTTATTTATAATATGACTCTGAATCATTGTCTAAACATTTTAGCTGATGTGGAACGTTGAGCTCACACTTTTTAATTAATTAGGTAATATATGTCCGTTTTTAAAATTCCAAATCACAATATATGCAGAAAAAATAATATAACTTTTTAAAATTTTATGTATTATATGATTATTCAAAACAGTTAAAAAATAATCAAACAAAGATGAAAGGAGAATCATAAATTTAAATCAAAACCAAATCTTTTAAATATCTTTATTATTGGGGAAAAAACCTACAATTACACTTGGATTTTGTGGTTCATATGGAAAGATAGGAATAAAAAGGTTTTCAAGGGATTACAATCCGAACCCACAGAAATTTTAAATCATGCTTTGAGTGAAAAATTATTGTGGGAAGAAGCTCAATTGGAACTGATCGAAACTGACTCTATTACGGAATCTTTGGAAACCCCAGTTCAATCTATAAGATGTCGGATTGATGGCTCTTGGAAAAATTCGGATCCAACTATGGGTATAGGATGGTGGTGTTTTCAAGGAAATGATCAAACGTTACTACTTGGTGCGAAGTGCCTTCGCATGTGTCCCTCCCCCCTTCACTCGGAGATGGAAGCTTTAATTTGGGCTATGCAGAATATCCTTTCAAGAAGGATTAATTGTCAGGCGTTTGAAACAGATTGTTCAGAGTTAGTCTCGATGGTACAGTCACCTGAAGAATGGCCCGCTTTCTCCAATCTGCTAGATGAGTTTGGATTGCTCCGTGTCTCTTTTCCCTCCTTCTCGCTTTCTCTTATTTCTCGTTTATGTAATGTTAAAGCGGACTGCTTAGCTCGTTCTGCTAGACTTTTATTTTCTGATTTTACTTTTGTAAACACTTTACCTCCTAATTGGGCAACCAACCAAGGAGTTATTTTTTAATTTATTATTGTGTGGTTGGAAAAAAAAATATATATATCTTTATTATTAAATATAGAAACGTAATTAGTAAACACGATCCAATTTTGGTAATATTTGTATCCGATTTTCAGGCAAATACCGGTGGAGGATACTGATACCTTAAACTCTGCTACCTTTCCATGATCAAATTGCTTTGGCCTTGGCATTGCTCTGCTACTTTCTTTTTTTTTGTATTTCTATAATACTCTATAGTTATTCTTAGTGTTCGTGAGAAATCTAACAAGAAGAAGAAAGTTCTTTATTTCTCACGGAAGATTCTGTTACAGGTGGTTCACTATTTATAGTGATAATACATATACCGGTTGACCGGTTTACTCTAAATTAAGCAATGTACTAAACCGTATCTATATGGTTTGATATTCCCCCTCAAGATGAGCCAAAAATAGACAATAAACTCATCTTGCCAATTAAGTCTCTGAACAGAGTAGGGAACAGCGGCTTGGTGAGAACATCTGCCAGTTGATGGTGAGTACGAACATGTAACGTTTTTATGAGTCCATTCTGTATCCTTTCTCTGATTGTGTGACAGTCTCGTTCCACATGCTTGGTCCTCTCGTGGAACACAGCATTATTAGCAATGTGAATGGCTGCAGTGGAGTCACAAAACAGAGGAACAGGATTATGCTGAGGAACTTGTAACTCTTCCAAGAGATAATGAATCCATGAAATTTCGCATCCAGCCTGAGCCATTGCTCTATACTCAGATTCAGCTGATGATCTAGAAACAACATCTTGTTTCTTCGATTTCCATGATATCAATGAATCTCCAAGAAAGGTACAATAACCTGTAGTGGAGCGACAAGAATCCTCATCGGATGACCAACTGGCATCAGTGAAACCTTTTAATTGTAAGTCTGATTCAGAAGGATAGAAGAGACCTAACCCGATGGTGCCTTTGACATAAGCAACAACCTTCTGGGCTGCATTCATATGAGACTGTTTGGGAGCAGAAGTAAACTGACAGAGCTTGTTAACCGCAAAGGTTATATCCGGTCTGGTGATAGTGAGATACATTAACTTTCCCACAAGCCGTCTATAAACTTCAGGGCTTTCAATTTCTGGTTCATCATTGTACTGTGTTAACTTCTGACTTGGTTCCATAGGAATGCTTGATGGTCTGCAACCTAACATACCAGTAGCTTCAAGTAAGTCCAAAGCATAACGCCGTTGACACACAGAAATACCTGCACTTGTTCTCGCTATTTCCAGCCCGAGAAAATATTTCAGTGGTCCTAAGTCACGTAGCTTGAAGCATTTTGCCAGATCAGTCTTTAATAGTTCAAGAGCATCTTCATTGCTACTTGCTATCACAATGTCATCCACATACACTAACAAGGCAATATAGTGAGCCTTTGTATGTCGAATAAACAAAGTATGGTCTGAATGAGACTTTGTAAAGCCCATAGAAACCAATGTAGAACTGAACTTTAAGAACCATTGCCTAGAAGCCTGCTTCAACCCATATAAGGACTTGTGTAATCTTAGAACAGCATTCTCAGGCAATGATTCCCCCTGTTTTGGTGAATACCCTGGAGGTAACTTCATGTATATCTCCTCATCAAGATCCCCATTAAGAAAAGCATTTGAAATGTCTAACTGATGCAGAAACCATTTCTTAGCTGAGGAAACAGCCAAGAGTGTTCTGACAGTAGTCATCTTAGCTACAGGGGAAAAAGTATCAACAAAATCAATCCCTTCTTGCTGCGTATAGCCTTTGGCGACCAATCTTGCCTTGAATCTTTCCAAAGAACCATCAGCATTAAGCTTGACTTTGTAAACCCATTTACAACCAATAGGTATCTTTCCTTGTGGAAGAGAACAAACAGACCACGTGTTTGTTTCTTCAAGAGCATCAACCTCAAATCCCATTGCATCAATCCACTCTTTAATTTTCTTTGCTTGCGTATAAGAGCTAGGTTCCGAATAAGCATCAATTGCACACACAATTGCTTGATGATCAACAGACAGTTGCGTGAGATTGATATAAGCATGAATTGGATACCTAGCATCAGAGATCGTATTGCAGTAATAATCTCTGAGATGTGCAGGAAGCTTACTTGTTCTCTTGGAAGATAAAGGTGGATTTGATATTGAGAAAATAGGAATGGTTTCAGCATCCTCTTCTTCTGCATATTCAATTTCTGGATCTGCAACATAAGTATCAGCTGCCTGCTTCAAAAGAGTTACCTTATCAGGAGTTTTAGTAGCAACTGTGTCCAAAGACTTGTCAATATTTGTGATTGCAGTAGCATCAGAAAACAAATCTGCAGGAAGACTGTTATTACCAAAGGGAAATAACGTTTCAAAGAAGACAACATGTCGAGAAATGGAGATTTGATGAGATTCCAAATCCAACAGTTTGTATCCTTTGTAACCAGACGGATAACCCAAGAAAACACAAGCTCTTGATCTTGGCTCAAACTTATGTCTCTGATGTGTTGATGTAGACTTATAACATAAGCAGCCAAAAACTTTCAAAGAAGTGTAATCAGGGGCTTTACCATGGAGCAGCTCAAAAGGTGATTTGCTCAACAGCAGAGGAGATGGTAATCTGTTTATCAAGAATACTGCAGAAAGAACACAATCTGACCAATACTCAAGAGGGAGATGAGACTGAAACATCAATGATCTTGCAACATTCAAGATATGACCATGTTTTCTTTCCACTACCGAGTTTTGCTGAGGAGTTTCTGGACAAGAGTGATTAGAAACAATACCTCTTTGCTTGTATAAATCCACAAACTTGAGTTCTGGAGCATTGTCTGATCTCACAGACTTTACTTGCTTCCCAAACTGCGTCTCAATCATTTGCAAGAACTCTGGAAAGATTCTCAAAACTTCATCTTTGGTCTTCATCATATAAACCCATGTAGCTCGAGTATTGTCATCAACAATGGTCAGAAAATATCTGTAACCATCAACCGAAGGAATAGAGAATGGTCCCCAAGTATCAATATGAATCAAATCAAATGGCATTGAAGACATATTGTTTTGTGAAACAAATGGCAAATGTTTTTGTTTAGCAAGCTGACAAATCTCACAGTGGGAAACATCATCTTTATTCCTTTTATGTATACCAAGTACATTTTGTAGAGTATCAATCTTAGAATAGGAAGGATGGCCTAGTCTATTATGCCACAAGGCAGCATCAACAATAACCGAGGAACAGAAAGAATTATTGACATTAACAGGTGAATCCAGCAGAATTGCATCAACGTCTAGCACATAGAGACCCGCAATCTGCTTACCTTGCCCAATCTTCCATCCCTTGGTATGATCCTGTATCACACAGTCATCTTCATCAAAATACACTCGTGATTTCATATCTCTGGTTAGTTGACTGATACTCATCAAGTTCAGTCTAAACTCAGGTATGTATAACACATTAGTGAGTGTAATATATTGATTGATCTTTACAACTCCAACACCTGCAATCTTGACATTAATACCAGTAGGAAGTGTAACAGAAGAACTCAATTCAGTAGATAGAGTGGTGAATATACTCTTGTCATGAGAGACATGATGAGTAGCACCACTATCCATTATCCATGTTTGAGATCTCAACACATTCCCAGTGGCTGTCAAAATACCAATAAAGCATAGTGTAGAGAAAGAAAAAGCAATACCAGTTGGAGCAGAATCATTAACAGCACTAGTGGAGCTTGATGCCACAGCACTTGATTCAGGAACTGCAAGAGGTAGAGGTGCAGAACTTGGCTGCAACTGAGTACTGAAATAGGCAATAACGTCTTGTATCTGACTCTTAGACATTCCTCCAACAAGCTCAGCAATGTTATGTGGTCCAGTAGTAGCAGCTTGTTCAGTGATAGCAAGATTAGCTACAATTGGTTTAGGAGCTGTGGTGTCCGGAGCAGAGTGAGTTTTATTTTTATGTTTAAATCCCACTGGATATCCATGGACTTTGTAGCATTTGTCAACAGTATGTCCCAAATATCCACAGTGAGAGCATTGTACCTTAGGCTGTCGTGGATTTGTGTGATAAGAGGAGTGAGTAGCATTGATAGAAGTCTGATCTGAAGAGGAAAGAGCAACATTGAAGGTCGAAGCATTAGAAGAGACTGGACCAATGTTACGTTGGCTGTGATCCTGATCCAAGAGGTTATAGATTTCAGCAAGATCAGGAACTGTCTTCTTCATAATGATTTGACTGCGAATAGTTGCATAAGAGTCATTCAAACCAGCTAGAAACTTGATTATCTTGGCATGATCATTGCTCTTATCCATTATCCCACAACATTTGCAATTATGACAAGTGCCAAGGCAATTTGCACCATCAAGATCATCCCACAGAGTTTTCAATGTTGTATAGTAATCAGATAAATTCATCGATCCTTGTTGCAGCGTCCATATTTGTTGAGTGAGTTGATAAGAACGTGGAAGATTAGTAATATGAAACCGAGTCATCAAATCTTTCCATATCGCAGATGCATCACTGAAACGAAGGATACTCTTATAAATCTGCTTACTAACAGTGTTCAAGATCCAAGACTTAACCATGCTATTGCATCTTGACCAATATCTGAAGCTAGGATCCGTATCCAAAGGTCGAGATAAAGATCCATCAACAAACACCAATTTGTTCTTTGCATCAAGAGCAACAGACATAGCTATAGTCCAAGTAGAATAATTCGGTCCATCAAGAACCTCTGTGATGATTACACTTCCCGGATTATCGGCACTCGTAAGATAATAAGGTGAATATAGATCTGTGTAATTAATCGGAGAGTGCGAAGTTACCGGAGGTGGAATCGGAGGATTATGAACCAGCGGAGGAGAAATCTGTGGAATCGGACTTGTTTCACGAGGAACTGACGATCTTTCAGCTGATCGACGCGATCGCACCGTACGACGCCGTAGATTATGAACGGAAACCATCGTATTCACCGGATTTTGATCGGAGAACAAAGAAATCAAAGAAAAATGGTGGAATGGATGAAATCGAAGGTGGAGAAGATGAAAACGAAGTGATCTACGAGCTTAATCTGAAGAAAACTCGAAGAATCGAAGGATTTTGCGACGAAAACGGAGCAATTTCTCTGATACCATCTTAGTGTTCGTGAGAAATCTAACAAGAAGAAGAAAGTTCTTTATTTCTCACGGAAGATTCTGTTACAGGTGGTTCACTATTTATAGTGATAATACATATACCGGTTGACCGGTTTACTCTAAATTAAGCAATGTACTAAACCGTATCTATATGGTTTGATAGTTATTATGAGACAAGTTGGCTGAAGCAACGATGGTCCTACCTATTTTTTATTTGTTACGTTGCTTTCTTCTCTATGTAGTAACCGTTTCATATACCGTGGTTACAAAACAATGGCGTGTTTGAAGAATCACTCGAGAAGGTTTTTGGGATGGGTTTTGCTCCCACCACCCCAAAGTTTGTGGAAGCCTTATGCATTGTTTACGGATTGAGCGACAAAAGACTAGAACAAAACTTCAATGTCTATAAAAGGTTCGGCTTAACAATAGATGATGTATGGGAACTTTTCAAGAAGTGCCCTACCTTTCTTGGATACTCAGAGAATAGGATAATTCAGACGTTTGAAACCTTAAAGAGGTGTGGACTGTGCGAAGTTGAGGTCATGTCAGTGTTCAAGAGGAATCCACTATGCTTACGTGCTTCAGAGCAGCAGATATTGAATTCCATGGAAACATATATAGGCTTAGGATTTAGCAGAGATGAGTTTGTGATGATGGTCAAGTGCTTTCCTCAGTGCATTGGATATTCTGCAGAGATGGTGAAGAAGAAGACTGAGTTTGTGGTGAAGAAGATGAATTGGCCACTAAAGGTCATGACTTTGTTCCCTCAGGTACTTGGATACAGCATGGAGAAGAGGATTGTCCCAAGGTGTAAAGTAATCAAAGCTCTCATGTCCAAAGGATCGCTTGGAAGCGAAGCGAACTCCCTCCAATGGCGTCTGTCTTGGCATGTACTGATCTGACCTTCTTAAACAGGTATGTGGTGGAACATGATGAAAATCCGGTGCTTCAACCAAGATCGTATCTCATAGGCTCATAGCATAGAGAGCTTGTGTAAAGGATTTTGCTCTTATTAATTAATTTTAGACCTTTGTAATCTCAATTTGATATGGATCCCAACCGTTTCTTTCTATATACAATCCAACTTTGTTGTTTAATAAACATCAAATTACAACAACAACAACAAAAGACAATGTCTGTTTCATCAATTAAAATAACCAAAATTAAAACAAAAGTGAAAATTTGTATGCTTGGAAAAGGAGAAAAATGTGTATTAAAATGATCATGATACATAATATAGTCTTGAAGAATACGAGAAATTGAGACGAGATATGTTGCATATTACATATAACAGAAAAAAAAACTTGATACTAAAATATGAGCCAATAGAAACATTAAAATTCGTGCATAAATTTCTTTGAATTGTTGTTGTTATTGACATTATAAATAGACATTTTTTAAACTCTAGTAAATTAGAAAGAAAAAGTACTTGTCATAGAAAGGGAAAAGTACCCATGAGAACTCTTGTTTCAGGTGATTGTGAATTTGTTGGGTTCTGTTTGTTTTTGTCGACTTTTGTGTTGTGTTTCGTGGCATGAGAAGTTTTTATAGTTTGTGGAGTTTTTCTCGATTCTTGTGTCTTGTGGCATGTGAAGTTTTTTAGTTTGAGAGTGGGGTTTTTGTTTTGTTTGATTGTTTTTTTGTTCTTTATTTGTGATTGTATTGAGTTGGTTGTTGTTGAGTGTTTGTGAAGTTTTTGTGTTAACTTTTTTAACTTGAGAAGAGAGACAGAGAGATCTTACCTGACTCTTCATTTAGTCTGGACTACGTATTTACCTTTCGAGAAAAATAATTCCATACTTCCTTCTGCTCCCATTTTCCCATCTATTATTATTATATAAGGTATCTGCATTAACAGAATGAAAAAAGACTGTTAACTTGACGAAATTATATTAACAGGCAGAATATACGCCAAAAAGGAAGATTATCACCAACCATTTAGTAAAGATGCACAACACCAAGCAATGAATCAAGAGCAGCTGAAGTAGTGTACGGGGATCATGTACTTCTAATTCCCTGAAGTAGACTACTCAAACATTTGGTAAAACTAGCAGGCAGTGATAATTTATAGTGTAAAAATGATTTCCAATGCTTGACAAGTACCATCAACGTTGCTCGCCTTCTCGAGGGCTGATCCCTTGGCTGCTGCAACACCTCCAATGGTATTCAATGTTTGTTACTATCCCCTCGTAGACCACCAAATAATTCTCTTATCGAACTTGACAAAAATGGTACAGATTAATAAGAATTTATGACTAGTTTTGGAATGAAAAAAACTAAAGAATTATTATAGGAGAATTCCTGACTTCATACCAGTTCCATTTGGTTGGATAGGTTTGTTAGGCTCTTCCTGAATTTTACTTACATCTTCAATTGACTCCAATCGCATCTACAAAAGTTTAAAAGACTAAGTTTATATCCTAAAGTTTGAAATAATATTCCACAAAAGATTCGTTAGATTTAGACAACAAAAGAAGATTTCCAATTTGTAAAAGCACCTTCCAATCTTGCTATTGATAACTTCTCTAGGTAAGCCATCCACCAGAGGTTGATGTCGAAACCAACGTCTTAATAACTCTCTATGGAGCCATTTTAATCTTTCTACCTAAAAGATAAGCTGCAGATTATTGGCACAAAAAATATGTATTAAGGGTGAAGTCAGTGAAATAAAAGGAAAGTGAAAATTACCACTTCATCTGTGTGGGGTTTCCCTTATTAAGGCAATAATTAAGTTCCATACATAGTTGATCCTTCTCATGCTTTCCCTAGTGCACAGAACATCTGTATCCACAAAACATATAATTAACAAATTATTACTTTCACATCAAGTGGAACTGTCAACATCAATTTTCATCGTGTAAGCAATGATCTTTTCATATTGACCTGTAGGCTGTCTATCATGAACGTTTATTGAGACCAAAATAACACTTGTTTTCTACAATTGGAAGCATACCTGGATTGATCAGTCTTAGGAAATAAGACGGCAATGTTTCCAAAGATAAATGATTATTGAATTAATTCAATTAGTTAATAATCCCTCTGTAACGTGCCCATCTTTAAAACTTGTTCATAGAATACGACCAGGGTATCATTCCGCTTCAGCTTGTTTACCAGCAACGCTACCTACTCTAAATTTTTAAAAGCATTCCAGAACAAATAGCTTTATCTAAATAGTTTTGAAAAGAAAATGCTGAAACACGGTCAAAAATTACCTTGATCCAGTGCACATCCATAGAATATATGTGTGTGTGTGTGTAAGACAGAGACTCTACCTTAACCTTCGTTTGCTCCTAGCTACCCAATCTTCTCCCCATTCTCTTGAACCGAATATTTGATTAATAAACAGTCCCCTGATAAGTACAGCAAGAAAAAAAAAATCCAGAAATTAAGACGATCCACACAAATGTACCTCGAAAGGGTTTTTCTCATATCGGGATCAAGAGGCACTTAGTAGTGCAGGTTTTAAAAACCCTCTCTGCAAACAGAAATAACACAGTTCAATTCGGTTATGAAATATGTTCTTCTAACAAAACAAGTTAGACAAAGCAGAAGCAGCTTAAAGGAATTCGTAGCCGCCACCTGAACTAACAAACTTGTCTTAAGCACTCAAAATTTTGATTGTAGCATTTCTGGTGGCGAGTGTAGCCCAACATCCTTACTAACATTTATCAAATCCTCTCAAATGAACAGAAAAAGCTCTTTTGTCAAAAACTTAGAAACCAGGGGCTGAAAATTTCTAAGTAGTAAAGCTATAAAACCTTCACTGCCAAAATCTTATGTATCAAAAGCGAGACACAAGAGTCTTCAACTGCCAAAATCATCCATAATAGCAAGCCTTCACTAAGAACCTTATTAGTCTTGTGATCATTCATTATTTCGTACATCATTGTGTTCAGATTAAAATGAAAGTCAAAGAAAACTTACAGAACCAGCACACACCCTCTCGACCGTGTTCAATTGCTTCGTAGAAAAGGCTCTTGTCTTTCTATCTGCAACTCGTTCACTAGTGCTTGTGAATTAGTAGAAAAACTCACTCAACTGGGCTAAGAACTAAATTTGTAAGAAAAAGATAGAACTGACGTCTAAATACAAAATTTTAAAATTGAAGGTTGCTTTTTCTTCATACGATACTAACCTGTAATGCAAAGTACGACACATTTCATAGAGAATTTTCCGTAGTCCAAGATATGTGAGTGATGATTTTCTAAACCTGCATTTCCAAGTGATATGATCATGCATATGCATTAAGCACGAGAATGTCTTAAAATGAAACATGTGGAACAACTTAACTGAAAATGAAGTAAAAAGAAAATGTTTGGCTCCCCAACTTGTTGAGAAAAACGATTCCATACTTCGATTTTGATCCCTTGCATTTGAAATAGAGATTATTTAGAGAATCAGATACCAATTTATGTTTACCTACAAATATATCACCCAGCCACCAAATATCATTCTTTCTACTCTTTGGGTCACAAATTACAATTAAATATACAAAAGAAAATATGTTAAGAGACAAAATCTTACTGTTCTGTTTCCTTGCTTCAAGGTACCACTAGAAGTCTATTTTGAAATCTTTGAAACACCTTTCGACAAGCTTTTGATCATTCAAATGGTTCTGAAATAAACATTGTTAGCATGAACAGAAAAAAGGATCAGAGAGGATAGAACATGTTAATCAGACAACCAGAAACAAATCCTGGTCTTACCTTTTTCAAGCATAAAAACTAGTGTCGGGCCTTGTATATCTTTTGATTTTCTTTTCAGTCTGAGAAAAAATACACACGACCAATTAGATATTGGGTTCTAGCCATGAAATGAAAAAGATAACCAAGGATACCTACCCCTTCTTGTCCACTGACTCTCAAGATCACGAAAATGCATCCTTAGCCGGTATTTCACACATCTGCTGATTTTTCCGTGAAAGATTCATAGAAACATAGAAATTGAAATCATCACAAACAGACATAATCACTGATTAAAGTTGATGAGGTTGTATAACAAGAGTCACCATCATTACGGTGCTTTCAGGTTTTAGTAAACGTATAGCATCCACATAGTCACTTAATCAAGCAAACCTGTTTTTTCAACCAATTCAACAAGTCATTAGAATGTTTGGGCTATTATAATTAAGGAGTATGCATTAACAAAACAAAAAGACATGCCTAAGGAAGAATATCATCAACCATTTTGTCAAGATGCACAGCACAAAGCCACAAATCAAGAGCAGCCACCATTCTCTCATGAGCTTTTTGTTGTCACCGAAATTTTCAGAACATAAGCTAGAATTCCCTAAAGTAGGTCACTAAAGTATTTGGTAAAACTGACAGGCAATGATATATTACAACGTAAAAATTATTTTTAATGCTTGACACGTAACACCAACCTATAAAAATACTTCGAAAACAGAGAATTATAGAAAAACTTCTGACCTCATACCAATTCCAGTTGGTTGGATACGTTTATTAGCCTCTACTAGAATATGTTTTAGAGCTTCCAATGACTCCAAATGCATCTACAACAGTTTAAAAGACTCAGTTAAAGCCCTTAGGAAGACTAGGGGTAATCTTGCTACTTATATCTTCTCTAGGTAAGCTTTCCAGCCCTACTACAGAGGTTGATGTGGAAACTGAAAGGAAAACAAGAAATACAAAATGTACCTGGATCAAACTGAGGACCATCACAGACAACCAAAAGTTGTAAGGAAAATTACCTCTTTTTGCAGGAAGTCATTTCCTATTGTAGTCGCTTGATCAGTGAACCAATTTGATTCTTGGGAAACTAAAATATATATAAAAATATAATACAAGAAAATAATGAATATGTGCAATTATTAGGTTTCTTCATATATTGTTGTCTCTTTCTTTTATTAATTTCATGTTTGAGTTCTTGGTATGTGAAAAATCGTGTTGTGAGTG